CTAGAGCAGTTACAAATGCTGAACACCTCTTCAGGGGATTTAACTAGAAAAGACTGTCTAGTGAAAACTCCATGACTCCCATTATAACATCAGACACTGTGTACTGAAGAAAAGCCACCAGAAAAACAGAGCGAATTTTTCAAACTCTGTCTTTTAGTGCAGGCAAGATCTTTCTGTTGAACTGAAATCCATACTTATGGAGAGGAGAATAAAACAAGGAAGCACCCTTAGATAAACAGCAAAGTTTATTCTATGGCAGGGATAAAACAACCCAACTCCTTATTTTTCAGATACTATAGCTGGATTCAACCTGTGAAACTCTGAAATGATGGAAAGAAGGAAAATTGTCTCAAAATATGCTCGCCTTCCCTTCTTCTCGCCCCCCTAAATCTGCTGAGGTGTTATTTAGGGAGCCACGGAAAGTTGCAGAATTAGGAAGCAAGGAAGCCCATTTGCAAGATCCCGTTAAGCCAGAGTGATTTCAAGACTATGATTTTAATCTCTTTATCTTCTGTAGGTTATTTAAGTGCTACCTTATAGCCAGACTGGTGTTTTCATGTTCAATAAAAGTTTTAGGAACTGGAAGAAGTTGGTGTCTTCTTATGTCTATATTTCAGATAAAAAAAAGGGCACTTCACCTCATGGTCTTGAGCATTGCTGTTACAAACTTGTATTTAGCAGACACATTGTTCTTGAGTCAACTAGTACACCTTCAGCTTTATATATGGATATTTGTGTACATTAGAGAAACAAAACTCCATCCTGCCCTTGACATTAATGCTGTCATTAGGGAGCATTCATTAGGCAAATATAACCAGTCCTAAAGGGCAGGCTAGGACCAGGCTTAAAAGCAAGGCAAACCAGACCCCAGAGATGTTAAGAAGGGAACCAAGGAAAGGGCAGAAAAAGGGAAATATGGAGGTAAGGGGTCTCGAGTAAACAGCTCAAGGAGCAAAGAAAAGGAAACTAATTAAGTCTAAGTCTAGGTTAAAGAGCCGACAGGCCTGGAGCAAAGCTGAGAAAGAGCTAAGCTAAGCAGAGAGGACCAGAGTACAGAATACCATTACAAACAAGTAACACGCTGAGATAGCAAGACCAAGTGGTGAGATGCCTACCTGAGACACTGACAAGCCACCAGTTTGCTTCAGAAATCCATCCTCAGAGGTCAGTGTTGGCACAGTCAGTCACACAAACCACAGAACCATAGAATGGTTTGGGCTGGAAGGAACCTTAAAGATACCTAGTTCCAGCCTAACTCCGGGCAGGGACACCTCCCACTAAACCAGGTTGCTCAAAGACAGACACTGGTTGCAGAGCTTTCCTGTCCAGGCAGTACCTGGTGGGGACTTGCAATTAAAAAGCTATGTATAAAAAGAAATTCTGTATCCTTGAAACTTTGCAAATACTGCAAAAATGAAAGGGATTGCAGCACTTTCACATCTAACAGAGGGTGTGGCTGGAACAAATGTATTACAAGTAACTCATTAAGAATTTCCCTGGTGCTATCAAAGACATTTCTAGATTACACTAAAATATCATAATTAAATCTGTACATGAACAACTTGCTCATCAGAGTAAACCGAGTGGATACCACATGGAATTAAAATGAGTATGTGCCAAAGCACATCCAAATGTATGTTCCTTTGTTCAGTACTCATCTGAGTCATTTTAAATGTTATGGCAGCATATAAAAGGACATTACTTTAACTCACTGCTTTTCAGTGATAAAGTTTCTTACCATCTACTACTAGGCAATTATCACCTATAAATTTACATGCATGCTTAATGCTACTTCACTTGATCAGGCTACTCATGTAATTTAAAGACACTTGCAGCTATGTGCTCAATGGGTGTCTTAATTATCCAGTTCTATTTTAGTCAGGTTTCCTGATGAAAAACGGCTTATGAGATCATACTGTGGTATCCATGCGGACATATATCTGTCAATCCACACTCATATAACAGCTTTTGAACCTGCTGGCCAGTTTCAAGCACACATCACAGAGAAGCTAGTTTACAGGTATTAAGTTTCTGTATATCAAATTGAAATAGACAGTTAAACAGAGGAAAGAGAGATTATTGGAATTACGGGCATTCCCATCACCCCCTGATGGAAAGGCTGTGTCATGAACACTTTATTTAAGTCTACAGAATTCATGTTACAAAGTTATTGTGGATGCCCTTTCACAGAAAAAAAAAAAGCTTCACAACTTGGTTATTAGACATCGGAGAATACCAGCAGACAATACTGATCCACAAGGCTTCAACAGTTTCCATGCTCCTAAGTCTCTGGGCTGCACATTAAAGAAGCGTTACTTGCTAACAGCAAACTCTCCTTTCCAAAACAATTATAAATATGAAGAGCTTCATCATGAGACTTCTTTTTGTGAAAAATATCTTCTCTTGTCTTGCCTTAAATGAAGTTCAAAATATTAATTTAAAGCAAAACAACAAAGCAGCAGAGTTGCTTCCCTGATTTTTTGGGGGGGGTGATCAGCCGATACTTCCAGTTTAATTACTGTTCTGAATACATGGGAACTTTCTGTGTATTTCTTTCCCAGTGTTGACATCATGGAAATTTCACAAAGTCTGACAGCTGGATAGAAAGCAGTATTCCAAAGGGACCTTCCTCTGGGCCCTATAGCGCTTGGCAGACATTCATAAATAGGACCTGTTTTCTTTAGGTTTTGAGCAGATCTCTTCTGGACTACTAATGATTCTGCTAATAGCAAAACGATAGAAAAAAGGTTTCACCAAATAGGGGATCCTCTTTATGTTTGTGGCGGAGTTGTTGTAACAGACTTTTAAAGACTTAGACTGAGAGCATCTCACGGCCAAAGGCCTCAAAACTGGATACTGAGAGACACAAAATCTTGAAGTCTCATTTTCAGTAGGATTTTTAATAAGTAAGAGGCATAAGAGACTGGTTTTTCTTTCCTCAAATTCCTTATGCACTAGGAATAGTTGAGTTTTTAAACCAAGAATACCTGAACCAAGTAAGAAGACTTATTTGCCCTTTTAGGTATGTTTAAAGAAAACTCATTGGGTGTAAGATAATTGAATATTTTGTAGTGCTGTAGTGCATTTTTCATGGAACCTTGCTCAGATCATTTTTTCTCTTCCAAGGAACAATCAAGAACACAAACACAACCTCAATTGTTTTTAATTTGATTTATAACAGACTGTGTTCTCCCCAGCCAAGGCTGCAGCTCAGTCGTAAACTGACACTATTTTTGTAAACTGGTGTGGGCTCACTGAAAATACCATACCTGCTCAAGATCTGTCTTGCTAACTGTGCTCACGTGAAGTCTTCAGTAACAAGAGGAATGAATGGTATGTAAACAGCATAATGAATGTACAATGTCACCTCTTAACAGTATCTGTTTTAGCTCAGTTTGCCTTATTGAGGTATGGAATTAGCAATATTCACTTAAGATTAGAGATGTGGCATACTGCACTTCCTGGAGGGGCTCTCGATTTCAGAAAATAGGATCAAAATAGCAGTTAAAGCTTAGCAAATTTGAAGGAAGAAAAATCTTCACACCCCACATTTCTGCAACATTCTTGAGTACTTTCAACTTTACTACCATTTTCACTTCTATAAATTTGGCATAAAATCCCTGTTGCATGGGATTTTACGTTCATCCATGCCCGTTTTACCTTCTTTTTAAGGAGAGATAAATACGCTTGAAGAGTCTGTCTGTCGGATTCGTTACTAATGGCATGAAATCATGTAAATGAAAGCTGAAGTGCGATCCCACCAACAGCCTAAGTGACAAGCATTTGAGTACCTGGAGTTTGTGTGGTTTTTTCAAGTCACCCTTTCTAGGGCTTCAAGATACATATTTTTCTTTGGCCTCGGAAGAGCTAGATTTTATCCATTTTATCTCTGTCCTTAGCTTTCACTAGCAGTTGTTAAAACAGTCTTTATATAACATGCACTGAAGACCATTTTCCTCTGCTAGTTAAGAAACATTCTTCAGTGTATTCTCATTTTTGTGATGGTGGCACTGCAACACCTTCATATGTATTCATGGAAAATTCTCTGCTAATCTGCATATAACTGTGTTTTAGACTGGAATTCTTCCTTTTGGAGAGATATATACATTGAAATAATACAGAAGTCAGTAGGGAACTACCACCATAATCACCAAATGTACACACACTTTAGCAGATTTCAGAGGCAGGATGACTTTTTCAGCTTAGTTGTGGCATCTGTAAGTACTGAGATATATGGGGCAAATCAGTGGCCATTTTGCTGAATAATAACTCTAGATTTTTCCTGCTTATGGAATAACTTACCTACAATATGGTTGTGCTTCTGAATTCTCTGCTTAGCAGTGTGGAGCAGGTGCTGGGCCACTTGTTAATGACAGGATTCATGTTTGATGTCAGCAGAGTTTAATTTCCAATGCAATAGTGCAGAAACCTTGTGAAACACCTGCAAAATCTTGCAAAGTCCCCCATGTTTCATGAGGCATATGCCACTCCGGGCCCCCATACCACACGGGGATGTTCCGTGTACTTTAGCTTGCCTGAGCCCATTGCTTCACATCTGCCTTGAAGGAAGAAAGCAGACCACCGCCGAAGCCCCTCCATAACTGGGTTTTGAGCGTGTCTGTCAACGGGGAACGCATTTCTGGGGTTGTCCCACCGGGCTGCGCCCCTGAAGCAGAGCGCCAAATCTGGCCCGGCGGGCGCAGCTCCCTGGAAGGAACCCAAGCTCTCTCCAGTCTCGCACATGCCATGAGCCTCCACTTCCACTCAGCCCCGCAGCGTGCGTCCCCCAGCCGGTAGGCCATAGGAAGACAGCCACTCTCCTGCTCCCGTCCATAGGGATTCAGGCCCCGTAGGCCTGGACGGGGCGGGAGGCGCAGGGGCAATAGGACCCGGCGGCCGGCGAGTGCGGGCGCATGCGCGACAGTGTAGGTGCCGCTGGCTGCCGCCGGGCGCTGCGGGTGGACGGGCCGGGGCAGCTGTCGGGACCGTATCTCCAGCGCCCCGCCGGAGGCATAGCCTGCACGGCCGGGCATGGGTGCCGCGGCTCCGAGCTCTGCTGCCTTGTCCCGTCCCGATGAGTCCTCGCCGGAGCAAGTGAGTGAGGGGGGCGCCCGGGCGGTAAGTGGCAGCTGTCCCCCGGCCGACTGGCCCGAGGCAGCGCGTCCCTCACGGGCGGAGAGGGAGCCAGCGCTCCCGGGTAGGGCCGGGCCGTGCATCCCCTGCTCTCAGACCCGCTCTGCTTCTGGGGCAGCCTGCGGCTTTACCCATTTTACACGGGTTTATTGTTGTTACTAAAAGAACTCGCCCATCAGTATCGCCGGGCGGGGCGGCAGGAGAAAGGAGGCTGCCAGGGGTGAGTGACCGGTGGCTGCTGCGGGATTTGGCCGCTCCCTCCGGGGCGCGGCTGATCCAGGGCCGCCCCGCAGCTTGGCTGGGCTCCGCTGCCTCCACCTGCGCGCTCGTCTCTCGGCAAGGGGGACTCGGCCGGCCCCTCTCCGCCTCTTCCTCTGCAGGGCGCCGGCGGCCCGGCCTTGGGAGGGAGAATGTGGTGAGAGGATGGGGCTGTCTCCCGCGGCGGCTCGCCATGGCCAGGGAGGACTCGGTGAAGTGCCTGCGCTGCCTGCTCTACGCCCTCAACCTCCTCTTCTGGGTGAGTGGAGCGACGCGGGGCGGGCCAGGCTGGGCCCCCACCGCCGCCCGAGCAGGTGTGTGGAGGAGAGGTGCGGGCGGCGGGGGGCTGCCCGCCTTGGTGCCGCCGGTGTGCTGCCCCGGCCGGGCAGTTCCCACGGGGGAATCCTGGTCACGGGAGGTAATAAAAAAAAAGCCTTTGGAAACTAGTTGTCAGTAAAATTAGATCTGGTGTTAACGAGTGTTATAAATACACGTGTGAATTTGTGCACCTGTAACACTTACAGAGGGAAGTATGCATGGGTGCCTACCCGTTGAGATGCGTTTCAGAGCATCCCGTGACCCTAGCTGAGCTCCACACTCTTGCAGGTACCTAAGCAGTGAGCTGCTCTGCAGAGGCCTTGACCTGTGGTTTGTTTGTTTTTTTTTTTGTGCTTTCAGTTACCAGATCCTAACAGGCAGGTAAGGTGATTTCTTACTTTGGTTCCAGTATTTCAGTCAAAAGTATATTTACAGCAGCAGGGTTTCTCACTCAAGCATAAATTGGTGTGATCTGAGCTTGCTCTTAAACTTTCACAGCTCTGGACAAGCAGTATGATGAAGGTCACTCAGAGTCCTCACCCACTTGCACTGAATGGAATCTTCTTCACCTGAATAGTTGAGATTTATGCTTGATAAATGTAAGGAAACAAAAGTGCAAAAGGCATGACATCCCATAACTGTTAACAGTGGTTGATTCCTGAGGTGCTGTAGGCTTGAATGATGCAGGGATAATAAATGGGTGGGGATCAGTCTTGGTTTGTAATGTAATTGAGATGGAGTCCCACAATTACTGAAAGTTAAATAGAGATCATTTAGATTTTGTTGCACTTCAAATAATCTCTCAGATTGCCCTTAACTAGGAAGTTGTCATGTGTCCCTTTCCCTTCCTCCCCCCAAATTACAGAGGAGAAAGGATCTTTTGAATCTGTCCCAGGGAAGAAAATGGTAACTTCTCATGCTTGTCTCCAAAAAATAAATAAATGGCTGTAATTAATCTTCCTAGCTGAGATCAGGACCCTGGATATTATACCAGAGCAGCTAAGTGAAATCTGTATAGAGCTGAAGCATGTGACTGGGTAATTAAATAATAATTGCCAGTACAGCAGATGACTTGCGCCATAGATATCACACAGAATTAAGCTTAATAAAGCTTTCTTCCATAATGTGTGTAAAATTAAAGGTGTTGGAACTTGAATGAAAAATTAGCCAGTCCATTTTGAGTTCTGCATTTTATAAATCAGATGAATGCACTGGTTTGATTGAATCTAAATAAACAAATAAGCAAAAATACCCAAGCCTGCCAGATTTGTGTGATATGAAATGGGATGTGTGGTGGGTGGGTAGTTAAATGTATTTGCAGTTACATCAGACTTATTTGGAGGAATGTGTAATGAAACCTCTTTCTGCTTCCTATCTGGTCCTGTTCAGATGTGTATTTAACAGCTAAATACAAATCTGCTACTAGCTGCTTGTTGTAGGGAGATCTGCCACATCTCCTTCTCTGTCAGAGCTTAAATTTTCTCCTATTTGGCTTAGCAGGAGTTTTGCCACTGCCTTTTCTGAGTGTCAGAGCATGACATGAGGGCAGAGTTTTTCTGGTGAAAAGTTTCCCTCGCAGCAGGTGCTTATCTACTGGTGTGGGCATGGGGGCCATGATTTCCCCTTGTCTCTGCACTTTCTTCCGTTTGGAAAGCTTTAGCTTGCCTGTTGCTTAAGTTAGTGTTTACTTGGATAAACACCAGCCCAGGTTGTGGGTTCGATGTCAGGAATTTTAGATTAGATCAGCTCTTTAAAAATGTGCAGTGATGTTCCTTCCGAGCACAGTGGTTCTGACCCAGTGGGTAAAGACAAGACCAGTGCCATGATTCCAGGGTCTGTACAGACATCCCAGTTTGGGATGCATATATGTGATTCTCTTGAAGCCCAGTCTTTGAGGGTTTTATGCTTTCTCTTGCTTCCTTCCTTCCCAGGGGCCATTGCCGCTAAATGACTTCAAGCTTGTTGATAATGTGTCCAGTGGCTGTGTCAGTTATCAGTGTTTGACTGAGAACAGTGAAGATGTGCAAACAACATGTGTTGACTTTTTAAAATCATGGTCTTACTGAGAGTCCTGGCTAAAATAGAGTGACATTCTCTCCTTGTTTCACTGTGCTGCTGTCCAGTGGTAGGTCTAACCACACATTATGCAAAAGGGATTGCTTTCTCCTCCAAACTGAGGGCTTGAAGGTTTTGAAGGTCTGACAAAAACTGTTTAAGAGCTGGTCATCACTGTCTGATATGGTCTATCAACCTCCTAAAGGGAACATCTGAAGTCAGCTTCAGGCCTGTCCTATGTGCAGCTGTCCCAGTGTGTGCATGATGGGACTCCAATATTTGTTATCGCCAGCCTGGTGAGGGCAGACTAGTGCGCATAAAGCTCCTTCAGAAGATGTTATGCCTAACAGAATTCCTAATCTGACCATGAATATTGCTGAAAAACTGAAGATGTTGATGGTTGCCACAACATGCTGGTGTCTTCTTAATTTGGTTGCTGTCAGAGCCTATAGAAGCAGAGAAGTGAGAGAGCTTTATCAGTAACTCTGCTGCCATTCTTATAGCTTCTCCAGAACATTGGTTGTAAGAGTACAGCTGCGTGCTTTCTGTTTGGGAAGACGTGTTTAAGCTGGGCTCAGCTGATGAGCTGTGATGCGGAATCTTAGACAGGCTGTTGTACCTGTGTGTGTATGAGGGGGAGGCAGGTGTTGTTTGTTATACTTTTTGTAATTTTTGGCCTTAAGGCTGCATAGCTGTAACTAATTCATAAGAAATCAACTCTGTCCTGGGTTCAGCATCAGCAGTCATTTTTTCTCCTCCTTCTTAGTAGGTGGTGCAGTGCTGTGCTTTTTGACTTTCAGCCTGGGAACAGCACTGATAACACTGATGTTTTTAGTTCCTGCTCAGATATTTGCTCTGACCAAGGACTTTGTGAGTCTCATGCTCTGCCAGGGAGGAGGGGAAGCCGGGAGGAAGCAGAGGCAGGACACTTGACCCAAACTAGCCAAAGAGGTATTCCATACCACAGCACTTCATGCCCAGGATGTAACTGAGAGTTACGCAGAAGGGCTGGTTCACTGCTCAGTCAGGCTGGGTATCAACAGGTGGTATTGTATTCTCTTCCCTTGTTATTTCCCTTACCATTATTATTGGTGGTAGCAGTAATGGTTTGTGTTATACCTTAGTTACTGGGCTGTTCTTATCTCAACCTGTGGGAGTTACATTCTTTCAATTCTCCTCCCTGTCTGGGAGCAGGGTGGAGGGAGAAAGGGGGGGAGTGAGCAAGAGGGCTGCATAGCTGACTTACAGCCTGGGCTTAAACCATGACAAACTGTAAGATCAAGGTTCTGTTTTAGTGGTTCATCCTGCTTGGGTGATAGACCAGTTGACATACCACCTTTACTGCTTCTGAAAAACACTAGTTTTGTGAATGGATCGCTACTTCTGTAGCTGCAACTTGAAGCAGATCTTGAAAGGTGTTTTGTTTTGAGATGGGTGTAAATCTGTTAAGTGAATGACTGTGTTTTAGACCTGATGAAACTCTTCTGGAAGATATTTCCAAGGTCAGTTGAATAACGCATTTGATTGCAAGATGTCTCTTTGTAAATTATAGGAGTTGCAGTTCCGGGACCAACTTGGGTCTTCTAATTACAGGAGGGTTTTTCTTTATAGTGCCCTGGACAAGGAATATCCTTCAGACTCAGTCCTGCAGTTAACATCTGTTTTCACTCTTCTGTCATCCTCATGTGTAAATGAGCATCACTTCTTAAGGTAATTTATGACACTTGCTTTCTGCAGGTGTCTCACTTGACACTGTAACACTGCCTTTTGCAGCATGCTACATTCTAGAAAGCCTGATAAAAAGAGGGGACCCCCCAAAAAAGCATGATTTGGTATTTTATACTCAAGACTTAGTGGTTAACTAGGCAGATTATCTTAGTGGTGCTTGAGAGAAGAAATGCTCCTACTGATTCCTAATTTTCTCTTGTTAGTGGCAATACTGACCTTTATCATCTCTAGCTAGTGTGTGTGTCAGGACTTAGAGAAATTTAGTTTTGATAGTTCTACAGATACAGTTTATGAGACTTCTGGTGAGGCTTTTCTGTATCAGCAAGCTCTTGACGCTGCTCCAGCTCATTAGCAGTCATGTATGCAACATGAGCATCTTCTTTCATTTTGAGCACTGTATAACTTGTCCTGACAGAAATCCTCTTCATCACATCTTGCTGTGGTGGTTCTTCTGTACTTTGCTGTGGTCTCTTTTCATAAACATTTATGCTGGGGAGACATTCAGTCATAGAACATGGCCAGCCCATAATAATGGCACAGGCATAACACAGGAGATTATGGAGAGCAGTGGCCAGCAGGGGTTGTGCTACAACAGGAACTAGAAAATGGTGCTGAATACAGGAAAAGTTCAGTCTCCTGGCTGCTTACAATAGGAGGTGATTAAGCAAAGCAATAAGTTTGAGAGGCACAGGCCTGTTTTACTTGGCAGCTTAGCCACGTGTGTTCTTTCAAAAAATTATGGTCAAAATAGGTGAACTAGGTAGTGATAGTAGATGCAAGTAAAAGCAGTACAATTATTTTGTCAACTTTCCCATTTTTTAAAGAGAGTCTAGCTGTTGTGCAGGAAAAGCTCCATATAGACTTTGTCTTCAGAAAACTGCCAGCTTTCCTTGTTTTTTTCTTCTGGTGAACATGTGAGGCAGAAAGGAGGAACAGCTGCCATTGTGTCCCTTGTAATTGGGCATGACTGTACTGTAGTGGCTTGGAAAAATCAAGGTTGTAAGTTGCAGATGTCTGTGTCATAGGTGGTAAGGGTCTCTTAACCAATGATTAATAGTGTCAGTGGATATTTGAGCCAAACCAGCAATGTTGCCACATCCTTCACCTTGTGAGGTTTTTCTGCCTGGTGATGTGCTTTTTCTCTTGAGCAGTGCCTAAGCTTTCCTTCACAAATGTAGCAGTACCATCTAATTTCAACCCTGTGATTGCAGCCAATAAACCGTCCTGGCAGGTAGTGGAAATTATTTTGCATCTATCTTGAATTTGTGCCCGTAAACAAAAAGTCACATGAAATGAAAAAGGAGCAAGCTTCCAGTTAGTTTTCCTTTTGTTCAGAATACCTTGCACACTTAAATTTTCCAGGTTTGGCTGGGTGTACCACCTGGGAACTCAAAAGAATGTTAGTGTTACGCAAAGGGGCACTAAGAGTGGTTGGAAGCAGTGGTATTGTATTTCTTGCTTTTTCCAACCTCAGATGTGTCTGTTGAATCTTGTAATTTTTTTGCTTCAGTTTTTCAAGTCTACTGTGACGTGAGAAAGAAATCAATCCTCCTTTTCGTGGAACCAGACTCTGTTTCTGCTGCTTTCCAACTTCCACTCTTGTTGGTGGGGTTTGTAGATATTTCAAATTAATAGAGTTCGTGTCAAGTTTTTAAGTGACTAATGATACCCATTAAAATGAACACTGCCTGGCTGGGTACCTGTAGCAGTGTAAGCATAGGTTCATTCTAGTCTAATATACTCTGATTTTAGAGACTGCAGTGTAGACCTGGGTAATTGAAACCTGATTTTCTCAGCATTCTTATATAAAGAAAATACCTAAAAGCCATGCAAGAATAACCCTGGCTTCTGTGGGAAAATGGTGTATTTTAAAGGAATGTGTTCAGCAGAGTAAGCTACAGGAGAAGTTTTAAAAGACCAGAAATACTTTTAATTCTGGTTTTTGTTTGTTTGTTTGTTTTTGAGAAATCTTTTACTTTTTGGTGTCTTTGGGCTGCATTATTTATGTAACGTCATTACGTAACTAGACCATGTCCTAATAAAATAAAGCAGAGTTCAGCCATAACTGAGAGTCATAAGGTCAACTTTGCATCTACCTCTATATAACCTTTTTATCCCATGTG